AAGTCCTAGAGGAGGTGAGGAGGTGGAGGCAGTGAAATTCAGAGCACATTAAAGAGAGAAAAACTTTGGGAGGGTAAATGCACACAAGGTACTTTCGTTAGAGATGACCGGTATTTTTCTCTTATCAATGATGTTTCCAAATATCACCTTTTCCTTAACAAAATGGCATGATAGTCCCTGGTGTATCCTTGTTTCCACAAGTTACTAATGTGTTGTTGCTCTCTAGGTAATTGATTTGTGACTAAAGTGAAGAGCTGATTATTATTTTTTTTTAATTTTTAATTTTATTTTAGAAAGACACACAGGATTTTATTTATAATACCTAAAGGGACAGAGCCTTCTGAATCCCAGACATCAAAGGGCAGTACAAAAGGAGAAACTAACAGCAATAGGAACCATATCTTGTAAGCATCTTTCTGCTTTACTTAAGATCTCTGTTGCTCAAAACCCTACCAAAATGAAACTGTTGTGGAAACAAATACCATGAATTCAAAATGATTCAGGAAAGTCTGATTTTTTATATTAATCTTTATGCAGTAAGAGTACATGGGAGAGGGAAATAGACATTACTAAACTCCCCAATCTCTCTCTCTTTTTTTTTTTTTGAGCTGATTATCTTAGATGGAACTTCCAATTGGAAGTCTCAATTTACTACATCTTATTATAGAGGATGTTCAGAAAATGGAAATCAGGGATACAGTGTGTCAAACACAGAAATGAGCATCTTGTGTTTGCAGCTATCCTACTGGATAATTCAAATTCTTACATATTTCTAGTGCCATTCAAATATGCTGGCATATCTCAGAATACATTTAGAGAAGAAAGAGTAGGTGGCTGCAGGCAGATAGAAGCTGAAAATCACCATCATTATGAAATATCTTCCCCTAAGAAGGCAAAATGAACTATGGACCTAGCTGTCAAAAGGAAAACAAATGTTAGTAGTTGACATAACTACTGCTATCATTCGACTAAATATGCAGGCGAGGTAACTCTTCTCTAATAAATATGTGTGGTTGTTATGAAATATTTCTTTACAAAGAAAAAAATCAATAAGGAAACTTAAGGTATTTGCCAGGCACAGGTAACACTGGAAAGTAAGCTCTAGAATTTCCAATGAGATTAGATATTTTCTCAGCATTTCATCTGGTAAATACTACATGTTAAATATTTACATTTTGAGTATAATCAATTTCCGGGTTCTGAACTATGAGCTTAGTTTACGTAACTCCCGCTAGTCTGCAGTACACATTCCTTTCACGTTCCCTTCCCTTTTCTGTGTTTATGGGAATTAAGTACAATATTACTGCTACCCTGCAGTTAAGGAATGCCTAGGGTTTTTCTTATCCTGCATGACTGGCTAATGTTACTTCCTAGAAAATTAAATTGGCATTAGTAGAACATAAAACGAGTGATTTTTTTTTCTGCATATGTAGGTATAGATATGTATAAAATTCTAATTTTCAAGGTATTTTAATTTCTGACTGCTCCAGTTTTTCATAGAATGATGAATTTTCTGAAGGACTGCAATTTAAAAAATTTTAATAAAATGTGACTAGTTTGTGTTTAGTAAAAACTATTTGATCACACTGTTTTCATGCTTCATCTGTCAAAACAGGGATCCAAATTTTCACAGGGACCCAAGGAAAGACTTGTATTCTTCATGGCTGATAGGCCCTGTGGCGATCTCCTCCTGAGATCACAGCACTGTGATCTCAAAGATGTTACGTCAGAGGGCGTCTGCCACGTGCTGAGTGAAATAACCAGAGTTAGCTTATGGGCCAGAGGGCTTATTCACCATTTGCCTGCTTCATTAATTCTAAGTTTGCTTGAACTTTGTGTAGGTGTGTTTACTTTATAGACAGAATCAAACTTGTCATTTAATATTGTTTTTTTAATTGTATGTATAGTGTAGGGGAATAAAGTTTTCCTTGACCCAGTGAAGGTCCCTGCTTGGGTCTGAAAATTAAACTGACCAAGACACACATTGTAACTGGCTATACATCAGTAACATACATACATACATACCAAGACAGATTAACAGGAGAAGGGCATTCAAGTTAATTTAATATAAGTTTTACATGAGATAGGAGCCTTCCCAAGGAAATGGAGACCCAAAGAAATGGCTAAACCTGAGTCTTTTTATGCTAGGTTTGATGAAGCATGGACAGTCATGGAGACAGAGATGGAAGTCACCCTTGACTATAGATAGATCAAGGAATATCAAGTATTACAGTGAAAGGTACAGAGGATTAGGAAAAAAAAAGTTTAGTCAGAATGCAGAGTGACTATTAGTCATAGTTAAGACGAAATCATAAATTTAAAGCTTCAAGTATTGATCCCACTATAACTTTTTTGCAAATCTTTATAAATAATCTTGTTAATGTTTCAGAGGGAAAAAAGAAAGCATTAGATAAAAATGAGTACTGTAGCATAATGAATTCTTTTTTTATTTTCCTCTGTCTATATAAATGATTTTCAAACATGCTTTGTGATTATAAACTATTTTAAAATAAACGGAAGTGCGCTAAGCCACAAAACAGACTATTTCCATGAGAACCTTAGGATGTGTTGAACATTATCAAATTTAATAGTGTTAAAATATGTGTATAATTTTTAAGACTGTGTGCATGAAAAATGTCATAAATATACGTACTTCTAGATGTAGTATAATATATAGTTAGAATGTATAGTAAAATATATTGAAGAGTTTCAAATTACTTTTAATTCAGTTTCCAATGAGTAAAACAGTTAAAGATAATTGTGTAAAGGAGTTATATATTGGTGGGAGCCACAGTTTAGATATCAAGAGCATTTTCTCTTATGAAACATTCTTGAAATAAACTAGTTCAAATCTAGTCAAAACACAACCAAAATCTTATTCAGTTCTTCAATACACATTTCAGTGTAAAATTTCTTAAGCTTTATTGATTTTTGTGTGTTTTAATCATGAGCAGAATTTGAGATACCCTATGTAACATCATGCAAGACATTTTAAAACATTATATTTATTCATTGTTTTTGCCTCCTAAAATGGATAATTTAAATAATCTTGCTATATAATGCCATGACCTGATTAAATTCTGGCCTATAAAAATTTCCTATCTACTTGCAAATTGTATGCATGAACATTTATCAAATTAACTTAAAATTCCAAATTTAAACTGGTGTGAATTAAGTGCGTGTGTGGTAGTTACTTTATTCTTACAAATGTAATCTTTTGGAGTAAATGTTTTACTCTATAATGTAACATGGAAGTTACGAATTTTGAATTCTATAAATCCAAGCAGTTCCCAATTTATACCCAGTTGAACTATAAATAATCTGTACTTGCAAACAGATATGGCATTCCTATATAGCCTCTTATCTCAGTGTCCACCTGTTGTTACTTTCTCCAGGTAACCTTTCTCCAAGCCACCTCCATCCATGTTGACCTTACCATCTGTCGTGAATCTCTTTGTCTCTGCTTCTTCGGTATTACAGAATCAGATACATGGGATTCTCTCAATACTTGCCTTTATACTGGATGTTCAAATAAAAGAATGATAGAGTTGAAGGAACCCAATTTATACCAGTTGGACTATGAGGCTACTAATAAAGGCATTAATTTTCTCATATGTAATGTGGAAATAATAATATCTTTCTTGATTGTACATAGTGACCATCAGGGTTATGTCAGCCCACATGAGCTTGAAAACTAGCAGATCTCCAGGGGAAGCCATATATGTAAGAACTCGTTCCTACAAAACGAAGAGAATCCCATTTGGAGTAGGGATCACAGAAGTACTGGGAAATTGTTGTGTGTGTCATTATTATTATTATTCTAGGATACAGAAGGAGTCATCCCTACATCCAGACTTCTTCACGATGCGGTATCGGGCTGAAGGAGACAGCAGTAAAGGCTTTTATATATGTGAGAGTTTTGTCAGCTAAGGGAGGTACTAGGCCAGACAGGAATCCTTTATTACTGCATCAAAGCAGGAACAAGATTAATAAAAAAGGTACAAAAGAGAACACGTTTCCACATCATTTCTCCATAGCTGGCTGTTGGAAAAGTCGAGTGCTCTCATGGGGCACTGTGGTTCCATTGCTATCAAAGGCTAATTTGTGTGACAAAGTTCCTCTTTAAAAAGTAGTTTATGATTCTTTTCCAACTTAATCCACACGCCTAAATCGTCAAACTTGTAAACTTGTTTTTATAGTGTAATGGATAGAAATACAGTCTGGAGCCAGCTTTCTTGCTCAAGCTGACTCCTTGCCTCACCACAAACTGGGTGACTATGTCTCTATTCAAATGTCACCTTCTTGGAGAAGTCTCTCAGAGGCAGTCTAAATAAAGTAGACCGTTCCTTCTTCCAGCTCATTCTCTATCCCTTCATCCAGTTTGATTTTCTTCCTAACATTTACCACTATCTGATATTATATTAATTATACATGCATGTCTGTGTCCTTATCTCTTTTGCTTATTGCTGTATCTTTAACATCTTCAGACATGTCTGGCCCATGGTTGGCATACAATAAATATTTGTTGAATGAAAGAATCACTAAGTGCAATAATGGACTATTTTCAACCCTCTGACCTTAATATCCCCCTGCCATTCGTACTTCTGCATCCGTGGTTCTTCCCTAGTCCTAACGATCAAGCAAAAATAGTCCTGTTCTATCTCTTTTTGATCTCTACTTAGATTATTGTCTTAACGCTGGCAGTTCTAACTGTAGTTGTATTGTGGCTGACTTCTAAAGATAAATTAAAATTGCCTCTGTTGTCTTTGGTGACAACTTGCTCTTTCCGAAGCCCACCAGGAATTACAAAGGAAATTAAGATATTTTTCACGGTTTTCATTTTTTTCCCTTGCCGTAAAACCACTGATTCTTAAATAGTTTCAACCTCAAAACGCATCTCTCACTAAGGATAAAATCTAGAAAGGGTATTAAAGTTAAACCATCTTTCTGAGTTTACACAGGTGATGACAGGAATATAATGTGCTCCGTTTTTCTTTCAGATCTCCAACTAAAGACATGGATTCAGAAGAGAAGGAAATTGTGGTTTGGGTTTGCCAAGAAGAGAAGATTGTCTGTGGGCTAACCAAACGCACCACCTCTGCTGACGTCATCCAGGCTTTGCTCGAGGAACACGAGACCACGTTTGGAGAGAAACGATTTCTTCTGGGGAAGCCCAGTGATTACTGCATCATAGAAAAGTGGAGAGGCTCTGAGCGGGTTCTTCCTCCACTAACTAGAATCCTGAAGCTTTGGAAAGCATGGGGAGATGAGCAGCCTAATATGCAGTTTGTTTTGGTGAAAACAGATGCTTTTCTGCCAGTTCCCTTGTGGCGGACAGCTGAAGCTAAATTAGTGCAAAACACAGAAAAGCCTTGGGAGCTCAGCCCAGCAAATTACATGAAGACGTTGCCACCAGATAAGCAAAAAAGGATCGTTAGAAAAACTTTTCGGAAACTGGCTAAAATTAAGCAGGACACAGTTTCCCATGATCGAGATAGTATGGAGACATTAGTTCATCTGATTATTTCCCAGGATCATACAATTCATCAGCAGGTCAAGAGGATGAGAGAGCTGGATCTGGAAATTGAAAAGTGTGAAGCTAAGTTCCACCGTGACCGGGTAGAAAATGATGGAGAAAATTATGTCCAGGATGCATATTTAATGCCCAGCTTCAGTGAAGCTGAGCAAAAGCTAGACCTGCAGTATGATGAAAACCAGATTCTGGAAGACCTGAGTGAAAGTGATGGAATGGTACAGCTGGAGGAACGACTGACCTATTACAGGAAGCTCATTGATAAGCTCTCCGCCGAAATAGAAGAAGAGGTGAGAAGTGTTTGCACTGACATAAATGAAGATGCAGAAGGGGCGGCTGCAGGTGAACTTGAAGGCCCTAATTTAGAAAGCGTTAAGTGTGATTTGGAGAACAGCATGAAAGCTGGTTTGAAAATCCACTCTCACTTGAGTGGCGTCCAGAAAGAGATTAGATACAGTGACTCACTGCTTCAGATGAAAGCTAAGGAATATGAGCTCCTGGCCAAGGAGTTCAGCTCACTTCATATTAGCAAGAAAGATGAGTGCCAGCTAAAGGAGAACCAAGGGAAGGAATCTGAGGTCCCCACCAGCAGTGGGGAGGCTTCTCCTTTTACTCAACGATTATTTAACATGTATACAAATGACACAGACTCGGACACTGGTATCAGCTCTAACCACAGTCAGGACTCAGAAACAGCTGTAGGAGATGTGGTGCTGTTGTCAACATAATTTGAAAGGCTTCTTTCTGACCTACTTTAATGTCGTTCGTGTTTGTTTAATTTAATAGGAAACTTTATTTTAAATATACTCGGAAAAAAATGTAAAGCATATTAAAGTATTCAGTAGTTAATAAAAACTAGAGAAATTTGTAAGTTTCGTTTTGAGTTAAGACTTCCAACGTGACCTAATTATTACAAGTTCAAACAATGAACTGTTTATTAGGAGTTCAGCACAAATAACTTGCAGGTGCACAACAGAGAAATAGTTTGATGGGAATTATAATCGCCCATAGCTTCTATGAGAAATGATTTGTGCAAACTTCAAGCTAATTCTTAATATTAGACAATTGATATATTGAAACTCTACACATGAACAAATAAAATGTGCTGTAATATATTTTTCACTGTATCATTGGAATTTTACAATCTGTAAAGTACACGACAGCTACTATATTGTAACTGTTATTAATTCTGATCTTGGTTCTTTTCATTGATACTTAGAATGTATACCATCTCTGTTACTTCCGGAACTCCTCTACCTGTTTAGGCCTAGGTGACAGGAGGTAGGAAAGGTTGCTCCTGGGACCTGCACAAGTGGATCAGACAGGGTTACAGATGAAGAAGGGGGTGCAGCATGAAACAGCAACTTTTCTAACGAAGCCTAAAATTATTTAGAGATATGCATGTGTTTTCTCTATCTGCCATTCGAAGCTTTGGATCAAACCAGCAGTCTGTGCAGGTTCATTCTTTGAGTGAGATGATAGTGTGGGTTACAGAGAAAAATCACTGGGTCATCGTCCTGTGTAATTATGCCCTATTCACAAAAGTTGAAGGGATGCAACTTGGGGTCCTTTGTGTGGGTATAAAATAGAGTTCGACCTGCCATAAGTATGAGCATTTTGTCTCTGAACAAATGGAGAACTAATATGGTCAAAACGCTTTTGTTCTGCTATGCTGTAATTTAGATTGTCTTTGTAGTACTTTGTTTAAGATGCAAACTGAAATAAAAAAGTGCTGGCTCGACCTGCTACCCAACCTTAGAGCATGATAGTAAATATCCAACAAATTGAACAGATTATTTAGATCCCATCTGAACTGACAGTCATTACAGTGCCAGATGGGGCTCGGTTTCAATTCTGTTGTTTTTAGGAAGTTTCTGTCTCCCTCCTTCTCTTTCTTCTCTCCTTTCCCTTCTTTGCTTCTTGCCAGTGAACTCATGGTATAATCATACTGAAAACAATTTAATTGTTGTATTCTACTGTTAAATGAATACACTTGCCGTTTATTTTTTTCTTTAGCTGACACATTTCCTATATGTCAGTGCACATGTAAGTAGAAATATTATTTTACTTAGTTTTCACATGTGGATATCAGTTAAGATTCCCAGTATTTCTCATTTCTTCCCTTTTACTCTTATGTTTACAGTAGTGCGTGTTTTAACTCAGTTTCTTAATCTGTTTTTAAATTTCTCCATTCCCCCAGACTTTTCATCAGTCTTTGGGAAGATATTTAGAATTGTCTAAATACTTCACTTTTGGGAAGCATCTAATGTTGCCATTTTTCATATCAAGATATTGCTGAAGGCCTTATTTGAAGTTGGAAGTTAAAAAAAGTAGGAATTTCTATTCCAGGGAAAGTACAGTGATAGTAAACAATAATGCTATGATGGGTTTAGTTAAAAAGAAATAAAAGGGCAATTGAATAATCGCCTGAGAAAGGGAAGTTTATTTGCCTAATATCCCATTAAATCACTCAGCAATATGGTAAGCAATTGACATATTTATTGTTCACTGCTGGGGATTAAATTCAGAAAATCATCATCAATGATAAGCCATTTGTGATGTTTTTCTAAAATGAATGTAATCTCTTTGGATTACTCTTTAGTGACAAAATAATGAAAAGAACATTGTTATCTGCTATGTAAATTGATCAATTATCCGAATTCAAAAGAAGTTCTGATAAGAACCAGAACTAGACAGATCATTTCACTTTAAAAACTGAATTAATGTGTGCTTTTATGTAGTTAAGCACAGTGATGCATTCTAAGGGCCAATTCTCCTATATTTTTACAGTAAATGATGTTAAAAACTCTTGTCAGAAAGATGATTGAGTTTGAAATTCACATTAGGATTTCTGTGTGTTCTCTACTTATCCAAATGTATTTGTGCTTTTGATTCATTGCAATGTCAAATCAAAAGTTAACCATGATGAATCTCTAATTTAGAGTAATATATTAATACCAATAAAAATACTAAAATATGATGCCCTCATCTCTGAATACTGAGCTATTCTTTAATCAAATTGTGAGAATTTATATTATAAATTCAAAACTTAATGTTTTAATTACTTGTAGAAGCTTTATAATAAAATGTTTATAAATTGAGTAACCTTACAGGTTAACTATGAAATTGCTCTATGCAGCTAGAAAGTAGCAAGCCACACACAGGTGGCTTTTCTTTCTTCCTGTAACAAGACTTTGATTTTTCACAGACTGTGTCTTGTTCATCCTCCCACGTGAAATGTCTGTTTTTCCCTTGATCTGCTGTAACCTGAAATCCCACCCCTTTCAGGCTTTTTAACACATTACGTCTTTCTATGAAGCATGTATCGTTCGAGTCAATGAGTTGTAATGTCTTATCTCTGAACCCACAAATATTTTAGGTGTATTTCTCAGAGAGGAGGATTTATATTCTGGCTTAGCTTATTTTATTTACATGCTTATCTAAATCCCCTCCCTCAATGTCTTATTACTTTGGCTTCTATCTTGTTAACCTTACTCCCTCCAATCACCCTCTTTGCCCCTACTCAATTTTTGAATTGAATTGCCAAATTTTAGAAGATTGTAATCTTTTAAAAAAATGATTTTCAAACACGGTAAATGATGCTTGTGGATTTTATACATAAATATGCACTTTCGCAGACTTAAAATATTAATAGCAACTCTACTTATAAATTCTTTGGGGGAAGCACTAAATCTTCCTGTTATTATGAAAAAAATTTAATGTGGTTTCAATTTTCTATTTTATTTTTAATTCATAGAGTCACTGATTTAAGGCAATGGAAACATTGTACCTTTTGAAGCCCCTCAATGGCTAAATTATGGTATTTTCCTCTGCATCCCTTGCATGTTAGAGAAAAAATCGGTTTCTAAAGTTGGATTTTAAGTGGTAGACACACAAAATACTTCGGAATATCCTAAATCAAATCTTTATTTTACCTTCTCTTTTTAATTAAAAATATAAATAAATGGCCTCCATTAGTGTGTAGAAGCTATTCTAATCCATTAAAATTTTATTTTTCTATTTATTTAAACATCTACTGAACAGGACAAAATATATTTCTGTAGCTACATTTTATAATTTTTCAAAGCAGGATTATTGTTTTATTTAAAATGTATTTTTCTAGTGACAAAAGGAATACCTTTTAATCTGGTCTAGATTTCTTTGAAACATTAGGCTATTTCTTTTCATGCTACCTGATTGGTTTCATAACCTGATGTGACAAACATAAAGTAGGTCTAATTTCTTCAAGTGTAACTAATCCAGAATAATAAAAGGAATAGTGGTGTACTTTCATGTGATACTGTTTGTCTTTCTGGGTGTGTTCCTTGGCTAGATTAAAAATACATTTATTGTATCAGTTGAAATTATATTAACTGCTGAGCTAACTCACACAAGTTTAAGATCAGGTATTATTTCATGACAATATACATATATAGCAAAAAAGATCTAATGAAATTTTTTGTTAAGTTTTGTACACATTTGTTTCAACTGTCAGGAAAGATTGTCCTCACTTTTATGGCCTGGTATCTTGCTTTCTAGAATGAAATCCATTTTAATGTAAAAATACTCAAGTGTAAATCTTTCCTGCTATTATTCAGTTTGTCACTACCCTTATTTCTCAAAACAGGCCTTTAATAACTAAATCATTTGAAAAAATGAGGAAACTCATCTGCTTATTCTATAAATGACCATGAAATTACTCTATTAAAAGGTTGTATGTAATGTTCAGTAATAACACACAGAAATGAGTTAACGCTATTGTCTTGACCATTGTTATCACAATAGTCAGAGAAAACACACAATAGTCATTTTGTTACTCTAGAATTAACTTGTGTTTCCAACCACTGTTGAAACTGATAATCACAATTCATAAGCTCCATAATTAATAGTTTCATTTCAGAAAGTAAAAAAATAAATGATTACCTTGATATTTAAAAAAGCAATTTAAATATATTTTTCCTAAGTAGAAATATCAGATACATTTTTACAGAGGGCTACTAAATCTCTCCCTACATTTCATATGTATAAGTAATACCATTGACTTTATTTTCCCACCATTTTTTGTGAACCAATCTCTGACGTGTGTTTGGGATCTATTTTGGGAGTAGACACTCCCAAATTGATTTGGCTGCATATTTTACCCCTGAAAAATATTTTCTCTGATCAAAAATATTGTGATCTAAGAAAATGTGAATATGAGGAAGTCTAACATTTCTACTCATTTATGTAGGACAGAGTCTACGAAGTATAACTAATATTTATAATGACCATGACAGTAAGATACATACAAACAGAATGTCTGATATTGGGTAACTAGTCAAGTTAGAGCATTTAAAGCCACAAGATTCCAGACAACAGTCAGAAGAGCAAAAAGACAAAGATGAAAAAACTAGCTGTCACGGCTACTAAACACATCCATGACTTCGACTTGTATCGGGCTTTCAAGTAGTTTGTTCTTATGCTTCTTGACACTGTTAGAATGTATGCTGTTAGAATGGCCCCACCATTTGGATTACTGAAGAACTTCGTTTTTTGAAAATTAAATACAGTTGACCCTTGAACAGCATGCGTTTTAATTACATGGGCCCACTGCATTACAAGCAGATTTTTAAAATAAATACATAATTTGTGGCCCGTGGTTGGTTGAATCTGGGGGTGTGGAACTGTGGATAGCAGAGAGCAGACTGGGAAGTTACACACATTCAGTTCTGGGGGGTCAGTGCCCCTGACCCTTGTGTTGTTCAAGTGTTAACTGTAAATGAAATGGCCTGAGAATCACCTAGGTTTACTTAGGCGATTGCTATAACTAACATTAGAAAGTAATTTGGAAATAGTGGTTATCTAATAACAACTCTCAATTACTTGCATCTTTCAGTCAGTATTCCTATTGTTCATAATAAATGGCAAGAAAATATTCCAAAATTTGTGAAATTGCATGCATTTAGGTATTTATCATAGTTTTATGGACAATAGCAAATTGAAAACACAATAATAGGGGAATTATTAGGTAAGTTCCAAGGTATTATTTGTGTGAGAAACTTGTAAATATCAATACTGATGTTTATATGACCATACAGCAGTGAAATCTAGTTTAAAAGAAAAGAATTTAAAAATGTATATAGACCAACTATGTTTTTTAAAAAAACCCACGCATACCAAAAAGCAAATGCATATGAAAATGGAGATGCATAATTTTTGCTAAGAGTTTTTGTAGTAAAGTGATAATTTGGGGCACAATATATTTCTTTTCTATATACATATATACATCAAAATACAGAATCTTTACAATTTAAACACATTAAAATGTTTCTCTAGCAGAATATCCCATGACTTTCTTATTTCTTTGCTGAGGCTATTTAGAGACTTTCACGAACATCAAACAGCTAGAGAGTGATGTGTAATGATAAAATCCTGAGTACTATAAGGAAACCATTTGAATCCTAGGATGTCACATTCCTACCTATAAAATAATTTAAAAGAAAAAGAAAAGGCAAAAACATTAGATAATCCTTAAGGTTCTGTTTAGCTTGGTTGTCATGCAAGGTAGTGCATTCAATGATTTGGTACATGCATAACAAATGTTTAGATATATACTTGATCAGCTAGAGTTCCTGGCTCTGTTCTCTGTCTCTGGCAGAGTCTACACAAGGCTGAAATAAAGTAGCCCACTAACTGACAAAACAGGGAATTAAAACTCAAAACTCTGCCTCTCCCAACACTGTCACTCATCTCATTTCTTTCCAAATTAGTTAGGGCAGGGCTGTGGGATTGTTAGTATGGCACTTGATAGACAAGAGTCACGGCTTATGTTAGCTAAACAATATATGGCTGGGAAAACAGAACATCATTAGTGTTTCCAGAACAGAAAAACTATGCTGGAAAGAGAGGTGGAAAGGAAAATAGGCTGTATTATTTATTTTTATATTGCTCTAGTGTCTAACAGAGATTAGCACCTAGTATTTGCCAAAAATATGTTAGTAAAATCAGGTTTGTAACTAAAAGGGCTAGGACAGTTCCTGGAACATGAAAGTTCTTCTATAAATAGTAGCTATTATTGTAAGTAATGAAAAAAAGGTGAAACTTCTCTCCTTGAGTGAAAAAATGCTTACATACTATATTCAATATAAATGCTACCTCTCTCTCTTCCTGTAAATTAATTACTTCCTTACTATAATTTGACTATCTTGGAAAGATTATATCATAACTGTCTATCACTTAGCACAAATTCACTGGCAGTCATACAGATGCACATTCAAGATAAGGTTTTTCCAATCAGAATCCTATTTTTAAAGTTTATTTTTCACTCTAAGTAGCATTTGTCATGACGAGAGAATGGAGAAAGTTTTATACCCTTTCAGAACTGAGACTAAGATTTTGAAAAGCTTCTTAGCATTACCTTTTCATATGTGAAAGTTTCATGAGTCACTCCTCTAGTTAAGTGTGAGTGTTTGACACAGGATTGTCAATAATTTTTCTGCTTTTCATATATTGACAGAAAAGCTAAATTTCCTTAAGGGGAAAGAGCCCAAAGATGGACGGGAAGGCTATAAACCTTTTTTTTCCAGCATCCACCCACACCACTGACTCCTGAGGTCATCTTCCAAAAGATTATAAAATGACAAATGTCAAATATTGAGAGGAACTGCAGTTTCCCTGGGGATAAAGGTTAGTAAAGCTAACAGGGATTTAGAATTCAGAAGTAGGTCAGAGGAGGGAGGAACATGCGCTGGGTTGGAGATTTAACTTTTTAGGCCATCCTGAGCCATGAGCCTTTCTGCAGTAATTCCCAAACCTGTCTCCACAACAGAATCACAAAGAGTACTTGTTGAAAAACAGAGATTCCCGAACTTCACCCTGGAGAATTTGATGGAGCAGGTCCAGATGGTGGCCCCAACTTTTGTCCTTTTAAATAGCTACCAAAATGCTTCCAAAGCAATGGCATTCAATTGTGGTTCATTAATTCTAGCAGAGCTGGTGGGTAACTGAAGGCTTTGCCAAGCAAAACTGGAAGGCTGTGAAGAGTAAGTAAGCATTCTCAAGATGACCAAGAGAGGCCACTGGCTTTGGAAAGACATAAATGGTTCCAGGGTCAAAAGCCAAAGGCAATTTGGAAACAGAAACCTGTCAGATGGCAGCTCCAGAGGCTGCAGGAGCCAGAGGAGACAAGCTTTATTGTCACATTTGCAAATAGTGCTTAATCAGAGGTGAAAATGACGGAAGAGACTGGGCTATTGTGGGGACTCTGGTTGCCATACGAGTCCTGCAGATATTTTGAGGTGTCTTAAACTCTTTTCCTCAAATAGGCCAGTAAGAAGGCTTGCATAGTAAGAGTATACCATCCAAAAGTGTTCTGTTCTCTTGGCTCAAATTAAATAACGATTGCTCTACAAAATAGCTAAGACAGTTCTCATTTAAGAAGCCAGGTAGACTCAGTTCAAATTTGGATTCCAGCCTTTTCTCCTACACGAGTTTAGTCAGATTATTCAAGTATTTTTGGGCCTGAATTTCCTTAACTAGAAAATTGAAATAATAATATCTGACTTTTTGTAATGCTTTAAGGATAAGTGATATAGCATGAAAAATACCTAGCATGGAACCTGGCCTAAGGAGGCTTTTTTTATTATAGCCAACTTTATGACAACAATATGTTCTTGATCTTATGACTTTTTAATATGTTAATGATAATAAAAGAAGCATGCACCATTTCATTTATGTCAAAAAATTTAAATTGCCCACCAGGTTGAAAAGTAGGCTATGCTGTAGTTTATGCTGTCAGTTTTTGGAGATTATTTACAGAGTGTCTATTTATTCATCCCACTATCATTTCAGCTGTGTTTTTATACTGTGTGCCTTACGTCATAAAAATGCACTTCATATACTTGACTATAATCCAGCATTAAAATTAAAAATTCATGTGTGGAAAAAAAGAGGACAGAAATGGAGCTATGAAATGAAATATAATACAAGGTTTACAAGCAATACATGCATCCTTTCTTGGAGGATGACTACATGTTTATACTTAATTTGAAGCAACAACCAAATGGTTATTAAAACTTAATAAGATAAAGTTGCACTGTATTTGGTCATTGAGACACATGAGGAAGGAATCGTCTATCCACAGAACAGATAATTCATGGCAGTAAAAATTGCCAAGCATCTCAGAGTAGATCAAAGTATTCTCAAAGTTAGATGTTGGTGTGAGTAACCAACGGGTTGTAAAGACTACCTCTTGAGACTTCAAACAACAGTTGGTCAAAAACATCTGATTGATTTTCAGGAAAAATTAA